AAGCCCTTGTGTAGATGGTGCTAGTCACCCTTTTTCTGTTCTACAGTGATATGGATTTGATGATAAATTATATGCTTATTTAATCCAAGGATGATATGCAAATCCAAAGCACTCGGCTGTAGATTTCACACACCTAAGGAAAGAACAAGTAAATCTTCAGCGATGGGGGACTGGTGGTGGTGAGAAATCAATTTCTTATGCATAAAATAAATATAAGAAAGCATCGAATAAGAACAAAGAGGAAAAATGTTCATAGTATACTGTATGAAAATATTTATAGTTAACTTTATAATTATCTTCCTAGATCATAAATGCAGTATGCTTGAGAAATCTTTCTGTAGTCTTGATCCTGTCTCTAGGTAAATGTTATCTTTTTATTGTCACATAGAAATACCAAGATCTGGTGGAATCTCTGTGACTATTGTAATCAAGATTCTGGTGACCAAAAAGCATGAAATCACATAACTTATTTGAATAAGTTATTTCAGGCTGGATGCATATCTTATTACATAAGAAGACAAGAAAACCTAGAGAAAACTTTGCAAAAGAAATTCTTGCCCAGATAAAGTATGTTTAGAAAAAAAACTCTGTCATTTCAGTTAAAAATATCTTGGCTTGTATATATATGGTTGCTGGAAATGACATTAAAATGACTAGTTTTAAATTAAAATATTCCTCTGATACGTTCATGGGAAATATATAAATATTTTACTTGCATGTTGCATAGTAAAAGTACAATTTGTTATAGAAACCACTCACTTCCATCAAAATAGACTAGGGAAACAGGTGTAGAATAGATTATATTCCATTTAAAACAGGGCTGTCTTTATTGTTTTTAAATAGGCTTATGTGAAACTACACCCGCTGGGAAAAAATGAAATAAAAATGAATCACATACCCAAAGGTCATTGATCTAAAAATATAGGTCCTGTGAAATGGGTAAACATATTCTATTTAGTGAAAGCCATCCAGTGAGGGGATTTGGGAATACTTCTAAACCATTTAAGCCTACCGGGATGTTAATTAATTTATCAGTAATGGAGAAGGCAGCCACTCTCTAGTGTCCTGGTCTCCAGGGGAAGCCTAGCAGATAAAAGATGAGCCTGCTGAGCAGGGATGCAGATCAAGGGGCTTAACCTCTCCCCAGGAGGGGGAGCGAAGCATCTGTGCTCCACCGACAGGAAGGCTTGCATTCTGACATAGAAACAAACCTTACAGGTTCTTGCGAAATACTGTGGATGGTGATGATGAGAGTGCAATGGGGCTAGTCTGGAAAGAAAACTGGCAGGTGAAAACAGAATAAGTGTTTCCTATCAGCAAGACATTAAACCCTGTTCTGAAAAGAGATGAAAGTAATCAGAGGTTTCTAAAGTAGATATTTTACAAGTATCTACTTCTGTTGATGGAGGGAAATAATGGGAATGTTCTAATTTATTTCTCAAACTTACTGTTTATCATTTTTAAACTGAGCATTTAACCAGAAGATAGCTCTCTTCTAGAAGTATCAGAATGTATATTTGATGTATCTTACAGAATTTTGAAGAGCTTGACTTAAGTAGTTACCTTCTTCCACTGAGAGCTACTAGGAGACATTTTTCCAAGTATGGAGAAAAAAAAGAATAAAAAGATTTTTTTTGACAGGCAGAGTTAGTGAGAGAGAAAGAAAGAGAGAAAGGTCTTCCTTCCGTTGGTTCACCCCCCCAAAATGGCTGCCACAGCCGGCATGCTGTGCTGATCTGAAGCCAGGAGCCAGGTGCTTCCTCCTGGTCTCCCATGGGGTGCAGGGCCCAAGCACTTGGGCCATCCTCCACTGCCTTCCCGGGCCACAGCAGAGAGCTGGACTGGAAGAGGAGCAACTGGGACAGAACCGGCACCCCAACTGGAACTAGAACCCAAAGTGCCAGTGCCACAGGCGGAGGATTAGCCTAGTGAGCCCTGGTGCTGGCCCAATAATATTTTTCTTAAGCAAAAACAAAGATTTTTAACTGTCTTTTGATAGCACCACATATTGGTGATTAAGTCTACTTTTGTATGGTGTTATAACCATTGGCTGGGGCAGGGATATCTGTTCACCCTTAGTGCAGGCTATTTAGGAACACGTTCTCATTAGAGAATTAGCAACAACAAAAAAACCATTAAGTCAGGCTGACTTTTACTATCACCATATATTACTATCACCAATTATAAGCATTCACACTGATAAAATATTCTTTCTCACCAGAATGAACCACACCCCCTCCACTGAGTTTCTTGTGGCAGGAGTGCATACAAATACATGTGAAAATCTACACACACACACTCACACCTAAGGGCCCACATGCAAATCTCGTTATTGAGAAGGAGTTGATTAACATAGAAATTTGTGGAATGACTGTCTAAGGTTTAAGTATAATCTGGTTCAGGACTCAACACTAGCCGGCCAAAAAATCCTAACTAGGATATCATTTAACTTTCTAATAATACTTTTTTCTTTTTTGATAGGCAGAGTGGACAGTGAGAGAGAGAGAGAGAGAGAGAGAGAGACAAAGGTCTTCCTTCCATTGGTTTACCCCCCCCAATGGCTGCTGTGGCCAGCCTGCTGCGGCCGGCGCACCTGGTCTCCCATGGGGTGCAGGGCCCAAGCACTTGGGCCATCCTCCACTGCACTCCCTGGCCACAGCAGAGAGCTGGCCTGGAAGAGGGGCAACTGGGACAGAATCCGGCGCCCTCACCGGGACTAGAACCCGGTGTGCCGGCGCCGCAAGGTGGAGAATTAGCCTAGTGAGCTGCGGCGCCGGCCTTTATTTTCAATTCTAAATGAAGTTTTCTCTACACAGACACATGGGATCTGTCAAACTGCTGATGCTACAAATAAGCTGTGATCTGTCATATTTGTTTATAAAGACACAAACGTAAACCACTATCATCCCAAGTGTGTGCAAGCCTGCCTGTGTGCCTGCCTGTGTATTTGTGCTGTGCTCTACCTATTCAGCAAATAGCCTATATGCTCTGAATGCTAATGTTTATAGAACTGGAAGTAAATAGAGCTCAAGAATGTGTGTTTTCACATAGACTATCAGAAGATAACTTCTGAAATTATTACTCTGAAACATCTAATTGATAAATAACAACATCTGTTCTAACAAATATAAGCTAGAGCAAATTTATCTTTAATATTGAATTCTCTTTGGCTAAAAAAAATGGGTCTGAATTAATTCATTTTAGAATATGCCTGTGAAAAACTTTGAATGTATTAAGAGAAACATTGTCACATATAATCATCTCAGGATTGTGGTCTATCTGTATAAGCAGTCAATCAGAAAAAGGGATGCAGAAATGTAAGTCTTTCCACCACTTTGTTCAGTGCTCTGTGGGAATGCTATGGGAATGCGGGGGAGGCCACTTGTATCCAATTAAGCATTATGTGAATTAGCCTGTACTAGGTAATGAGGGTAAGAATTTAAATAAGGGAGAAAGGAGAGCACATAGCTACTCAGATAGGGTGGTGCATCAATGTATGACACCATGATGGTACAAGGAGGCCTGATAGGAGTTGGGTATGGCTGAAACATAGGCTTCATAGACCACTGTAAAGTTAATGCTGAGTGACAGAAAGTAGACAGATGCAATGTAGTAAGAAAGAGAATTTAAATTTATTTTGTATTTAGGGGGAAATGATGCAGACACTGATCATTCTCAACCCAGATCTCTTATTTATTCTTAACTCATAGCTTGACTATATTTTAACCTTGCTTAGCAAAGGTAGTTATATGTCTGAATTGCCATGTATGGAAAGTAAACAATGATAGGTGCCTGTCCTGTGGGTGTTTCCTTCTAGCCTACTGGGATTGCGATCCTCTAACGAACCTCTGAAGATGCTAGTGGCTCTAACTGCCATTGCGTTATCAATGCTTGAATCATTGCTGCCTGATATACATGCTGGTTTGGATGATCCTAAATTGAATAAATTGAAGTATTTTAATCTGGTTGTATTGTAATCAGATTTATGCTTAGGAGCTATACATTTGGCAGGAATGGTAAGAATAAGTACCACTTTAGAGGCTATGACAGTGAACCAGATTTGAGATAGTGAGCTCTTAGACAATTGTTGTTGGGATAAATGGGAAATTCACAAACATAAGACCTTTACTAGGTGAATGTATAAGAGCTGGCAATTTATTGCATGTGGTAGATGAATGACAAGAAATCCAGAATGAGTCACAAGCCTATGCCTTGAGTAATTGGTTAGAAGCTACACAGGGAATGTAGACAAAGAGCATGGTTAAGGTAGAACTCTAAAAATGTTCAATATTGGAGTGGCTATTTAACGTCCTGGTTAGGACAGCTGTGTTCCTCTTCAATGTGTCTGGATTCAATTCATAACTCTGTCTCTTCACTCAAGCTTCCCATTATTGCAAGGTCCTATAAAGCAACAGTAATGGCTCAGTGGCTGAGTCCTGGATTGAGTTCCTGGCTCCTCTTTCCAGACCCACCCAAGCCCCAAACATTGTGGGCATCTGGGGAGTGAACCACAAAATGAGAGCTCTCTCACTCAAAAAAAAAAAAATGGAAAAATTCTTTTATCTAAAAAGTTAAATATTTAGTATGTTGAATTTGATTTTATTATAAATCATTGAAGAAATAAGAAAGAGTAGTCTGATGATAATTCTATTTGGAGTACAGGCAAGAGGTTGGGGATATTGACAATTTTGCCATGTATGAAGCAATGAAAAACTGAGAATGGGCTGGCACAGGTCCTCAGCCTGGTGAGAGTAAATACCATCACAAATACATCCAGAGGAAAAGGAGTAACAGCAGAGAGAGAGAGAGAGAGAGAGAGAGAGAGAGGAGAAGAGTGGCCTGGAAGAGTGGGGGAAGCAAAATAGCATGGGAAGAAAGCTCAATAAAGAGAAAAAAAATCAAGGTCCAAAATTACAGAGACTGAAAACAGTTCATTAGATAATACATCCAGAAGCTTATCATTGACCTTACAATGAGTAGCTGGAAGGAAGATGATGACAGAACGGGTTGAGCAATGAATACATGGGAATGGATACCACAAGCACAGGTAACCCTTCTAGCAGGTATTGATGAGACATAACCACAGAAGGGTGTTGTATGAAGAAGGAAATTAATTTTGGGAAGGGTTGAGAATACCTTAGCATATTTATACTATGAAAAATAAGAGCATATTTAAAGTAATGGAGTGATAGATGAAACAAGAGGTGGTGGGGAAGAAACAAGAGGTGGTGGGTAGATTAAACTTGGGCATCAAGTTTAGAAAAGACAGGGAAGAAAGTAAGAGCCGACGTTTATACAGACCATGGAGTAAGACAGTCAGGGATACCACTGTGAAGTTTACCTTTTTCTCTTTTGTGCCATAAAACATGAAATGACTTGCTGTGATTGTGTGTGTGTGTTGAGGGGTGGCAGGGAGGTGATGGGGTGATGGGTTCAGATATAAAGGTCACAGTTTAGAGAAGCATTTGAAGGCAATAGGACAGCAAGTGAACTGAGATATAAAGAAGTTTTCTGGGTTGCACCCAGGACCCAGTGGGCTTGGATACATGTCTTTGTAGGACACCAATTTCCACTCTTGATTGATTTTCCCCAGCCTTTCAGGATGTGTGGAATATACCAGAGAACATCTGATAGGCTCAATCCAAGATTGAGTCTTGCAAGGCTTTTTAGATGATTGAACATGCACAGAAGAGGTAAGCAATGGTGAGTGAAATCTCTGCTAAAAAATATCTAAAATCTCATGTGTGGATGCAGCTCATGATTTTGCCACATCGACAGCTTTAGATTTATATTACACATATGGTGGAAGTAATGCATTAGTTCACAGTATGGAAATTCAGTACTAGAAAGTAAAAAATAAGACTGCTTTGATCACTGACTTTCAGTCCATGTAGCTTTATTTAAAATTAGAAAGGATTATCTATGTATTTCACCATACTTGTTAAGTGGTCTTTAAGTGCTACCCTAAACTAACATTTATCTGCTTAACAGTTTCTCAATAAATGGCAGTTAATTCCATCTTGATGTGTTGGTTTGGCTTCTTATAAAAAGAGCCCAAGTAAGTTCTTGAACTTGAGATGGTGATAAGATGTTTTCACTTCTCAAATATTGTGGGTTGTATTTAGTCCACTTTGTTCATAGGCAAGGACCAAGTACCAGAGGGAATACATATCTATCTGGAAATTTTTCTCTTGGCTTTCTTAAGTAACCTAGTGATCAGGGTACAAAATCACTTTATCTGACTTAAAATTTTGAGAGTGCAAAACTTCATCACTGAAAAGAACATGGTACTAAATTTAAACTGAAAAAGTACTTTACTATCAGAAAGAGATTCTATTTTGTTCCCTTCGCAATAATAGAGAGTGACATGTCTTTGCCACTAGCTGGCTTAGGAGTGTTGCTTCTCCTGCCAATAGCCAGAGGGCTGTGCGTTGATTCTAATGAATGGTGACACATATTGTTAATTATGTTGACATAACGTCTCTTGACCCCCTATTTTGTGGTGGAGGATGGGGTTGAGATTTTTTTAGTACTTTGGCTATTTGCCAATGTAAATATTGCATATTTACTGATTTATCTGAGAGTCAATTCACATTCAGGCAGTAGTTGCTTAGTGCTATGTATTTGTAAGGATACAACCACACACACACACACACACAAACACACACACTCAGGAGAGCTTTAATAATTCATTGAAAATAGAATTAAAAGATAAGTGTTTTGGTGCAAGAAAATCTTGAAATCCATGCATAGTTTTTTTTCCACAATATGCATTTCCACGAACTTTTTGAAGAGCCCTCATATGTAGGCAGGTATGCAAGTTTTAGGGCAAGGTTCCAAAATTAGCAAATTATTGCAGTGGTTATTAACCTTTATCGAAGACAGCTGTAATGCTAAGTAAGTTACATATAATAGAATTTAATCTTCAAAGCAAGCCTTCATATTTCAATTTGATTGCTGTGGCAACTAAGATTCAGAGGCATTGTGACCCAGTCCAAAGGTCAGGTTAAACACATATTTAGTGATCCTTAAATGGTTCTCGAAAATCTTGTTAGATTGACTACAGCAAATAAAGCAAACAAAATATACTTCTATTTTCCAAGCTATGTGTATTTGTATTTCATAATCCATGATATCAAATAGCAAAGCTTTGTTAATACTTGCATGTACTCAGTTGTACCATTAAAGTTTCCTTAGGGGGACCAGCGCTGTGGTATAGCAGGTAAAGCTGCCGCCTGTAATGCTGGCATCCCATATGGGTGCTAGTTCGATACCCGGCTGCTCCCCTTCTGATCCAGCTCTCAGCTGTGGCCTGGGAAAGCAGTAGAGAATGGTCCAAGTCCTTGGGCCCCTGCACCCACATGGGAGACCCGGAAGAAGCCCTTGGCTTCAGATGGGTGCAGCTTCGGCCCTTGTGGCCAACTAGGGAGTGAACCAGCAGAAGGAAGACCTCTCTCTCTCTCTCTCTCTCTCTCTCTCTGCCTCTCCTCTCTCTGTGTAACTCTTTCAAGTAAGTAAATAAATCTTTAAAAAAAAGTTGCCTTAGGAAAAATAATTTTAAGTTTAGATATAAAGTTATATTCTTCATTTTCCCATTATTTTAAGGATTAATTTATATTTAGCTTATATATCACTTAGCTTTACCTTTAATTTACAAGACACATGCAGAAAGATTAGAAAATTCCACATGAAAATCAAAGTTCAACCACGATTGAATATGTCAGTCAATGTAACTTTTAGATTGGAGGCTATCAAAGGAGTTCTAAAGATTTTGAGGGAAAATTATAAAAAAGAGAGATTGATAAAAAATAATATTTAATATATGGACTTAATTAATAGAGGAATATTCCAAAGTAAATCTTATTTGCAACTCTATTGATATTAAGATTCAGAAACCAAGAAAAATAAGAGGCTATGTTCTCTACCCTCTGAGTTTAATGCAGAGGACATCACTGTCAGAAGCAGTGTTCTGCAAGAGAGAGAGAGAGAGAGAGAGAGAGAGAAACTACTTTGTTATATTAGCGCTAAGCTGGGTACTTTTTATTTTGATGGAATTTAATATTTTCAAAAACTGTGAAGAATGTATTATTGCTCTCCAATAAGGTGGGGAAATTGAGATTTGCTGAGATTTTAATCAAGCCCACACAGCAATGGTAGAATTTGACTTTAAGGTATATGCTCTTGACCCCACATCCTGCCCTGTCCATGGATTATAGATAAAGGGGCATTTAGCAGTTAAAGTTTCTTTTTATGTCTTCAGTACTCTTCATTGGCAATGTTATATCTTACTTAGCCATCACCCTTGTTACACTAAAGATGCTTGCACTGGTATTTATTAACCTGATGCAATTTCCCTTTCATATCTCCCATTCATGGGTTCACAAGGCAGTTAGAAATTTTTTTTTATTTATTTGAAAGAGAGAGGGAGGAAGGGAGGGAAGAAGAGAGGAAAAGAGAGAGAGAGAGAGAGAGAGAGAGAGAGAGAGAGAGAGGTGGAGTCAGAGACAGAGAGTTCCCATCCATGGATTTGATTTCCAAATACCCACAATGTGTAGGGCTGGATAAGGCTGAAGTTGAGAGCTGGAAACTTGATCCAGACTTCCCACGTGGATTGTAGGAGCCAAATTACTTGAGCCATCATCATTGCCCTCCATGGTGTGCATAAGCAGGAGGCTAGACGCTGGAGCTGGTATCAGTTATCAAACCCAGGTACTCCAGGGTAGTATGCAGATGCCCTAACTTCTAGGCCAAACACCTGACCCAGGAAGCAATTTTTAGGTGGTAACTTCACTTTCATTGTATAATTTCCTTATTAGGCAAAGAGTTCATGAATCATCTACAAGAGTAAGAATCAAATTGCCTTTACAAACTGTGTTTTAAAATTCAGAGATAGTATACATAATTTTCCATTGCTTTGTCTCCTCCATGTTCAGAGAAAATATATTTTTTTACCTGCAAAAGTAAGAACCAACTTCTGAACCACCATGGCCACCACGAGGTCAAATCATTGTGTGAAGATTAATCCACACTGAGATTCCATTCCTAATATCCCTTCTTTCTAAGCTCAGTGTTTCTTACAAATAGGACTGAAAATAAGCTTGAAGCAAACATTCATTTTTCAGTTACAAATGAATTAAAGGTAAGGGATATTATGCTTGGTCAGAAAAAATAAGAACTAAAGCCTGGAAGTCCTGGGTCTCTTGGGTCCCTTGGGATCCAATGTTATTAATCATCAGCTTTCCACGCTGCAAGAAGATCTTGGGTGACAACATTCTTAATAGTGTTATTATAGGAGCTAAGCCTCCTTTAAAACTGGTTATTTAATTTCTTGTCCAAGGTAGAAAATAACGGTGTTTGTTGAAATCTTCCTCCTCTGCTGAAGTAAACTCTCTGAGGAAAATATAGTTCAAAATGACATTAGAGAGAATTTCTTTAAGGAGATTAATGATGTTTGGTACTGTTTATAGTCTCCAACTCTAAATAAATAATAAAGGATTGGTATCTTTTCTCCCACATATAAAATAGGAAGCAGTAAAGAAACATAATTGAGAAGAGAGATATGGCAGTCAAGAAATATAATGCCATCTATTGTATTTCAACTGATCTAACAGATAGAGGACATATTAGATTGGAAGCAAAGTAAGATTTATTAGAAATATCATTACTAAAACACAAAGACTGGGGCAGGTGCTCTGTCTTAGAAAGTTAAGCCTCTGCCTGCAATGCTGGCATCCCATATAGGCAGCAGTTTGAGTCCTAGCTGCTCTGATTCCAATCCAGCTCCCTGCTAATGGCCCGGGAAAGCAGTGGAAGATGGCCCAAGTGCATGGGCCGCTGTACTTACAGAGGCGACGCGGAAGAAGCTCCTGGCTCCTGGCCCAGCTCCAGCTGTTGAGGTCATTTTGGGAGTTTTGAACCAGTGGAAGACCTGTCTCTCCTCTCTGCCAGGAACTCTGCCTCTCAAATAAATAAATAAATCTGGAAAAAAACCCACATAGATAATTTTTAACTTAATCCTTATTCCTTTCACAGAGCTGAAACCAAACTAAGTTACTTGGCAGGGATAGGCAAAGAAATATAATGACAAACGGCTTCCAAACTCCGTTATGTGTTAAGTGTGTCAACGTGCCTGGGTCTTAGCATCCCTATGCTTCAGTTTCCTTACCTGTCAGGAAAGATAACACTTGTAATGTGTTTAGACTAGTACTTGGTCCTGTAGGGGCTTGAGAAAGTAGCTTTTTCTCTTCTAAATGCATAGCTGAGGCTCCTGTAACTGACAGATTAACAAGAGAAAGCAAGCACATTCTTTTATGTGACATTGGAGCCTTCCTAAGGAAATGAAGCACTGAAGAAACAGGTAGACCTGAGTCTCTTGTATAGCAGGTTCGCCAGGATGGGGCAAAGCAAGTTTGAGTGAAATTAGTGAACAGGAGAAACTTAGCCAGGCCTGTTTATTCATATTCCTTTCCACTCCCCCTTACCCCCAAGTAAAGGGAGGGCTTCAAGGGCAGGTCATAAAAATCCTTCCTAAGTGTTTTGATCTGTTTCAGGGTAGAAAGGTGAGGAAACATTGGAGAAATATTGCATCTGTGTTTTCTCATATTTCTTCAGCTGAAGATATTTGGAATACCAAGATGCCATGTTTCGGTACCTTAGACCCAGTCAGCACATAGAACATGTGCCAATAGATATA